CTGATTGCACGAACGCTGAGGCCTTGGATGTTTCATGTTGGTGTATCTAACCCAACTGGTTGCTAATTGTTGATCAAAGCTGTTAAGCCGCAGACAACAGATCAGTGATCAGGACGTATATGGTATTTGCAATGTGCTTTGGACCACAGTCCCTTAGTGCCTTCTTATTACCGTGAACCCGTTCTGGATAGCCGCCTGATCGCCTGGTGCTCTTGGCCAAACCAGAAAAGTCAATGAACCTGCGAGCCAACTACTCTATTGATCACTGTCGCGTGCAAGCGGGTCAAAATTGATACTAAGAATACAACTCATTTGTCAAGGACAAGTGAAGGACAACGAATGAAATCTGTCTGAACGAAAACGGTTATTCCATTGGCTGTTTTGCAATCCTGTTACGTTCGGAGCTGGTTCTCCTAGGTTTCTGGTACCATGCCGTTTTTCTCGCCTTAGACAAATGTAACATCTGACGATCTGACGAAAGTTTTCCACATACATATGTTCTATTGTTGCTCGTGGGCAGCGTCTTAGCGGCTTGTATCGACGGTGTGTTTATTGTGGTGTCCCTTCGTTCTTTTCCCCTCACAGGTCCTATCCAACACAACAGAATACTCCGTTTCCTTAAACAATTCAGCATTGAGTGGAGTAAGTGTGTTCAAATGTTGCTAGATTTGATTTGATGTTGAATGCCTTATACACCTGAATTCTCTTCTGTCCAAGGTAGTGGCAATATGAATCATCAACTGACTGTACTGCTCTGTACTAAAGCTCATCCCTGAAGGTTCGCTCGATCTTTGTGGAGTTGCCTCGTTGGGACATCCAGACTGGTCTATAATGTGCTTCATTCGAAAATTCTAATTCAAGTTACCATGCGTTTTCCCGTTGTAGCGAGTTTATTGCTATATTATATTGTAGCAAGTCACTAGACGAAAACAGTTCGTAGCACTCAATGATCTACCGAGCTGTCAAACTTCTCACTTGGACTTGGAAAAACATTGATCTACCGAGCTGTCAAACTTCTCACTTGGACTTTTGATGGAAAAACATCTCATCTGGGGTTGCCTAATTTATGAGAACTTGAAAGGCGAATAAACCTAATTTGACGTGTATTCCTTTCGTGAAAGATTTTGGTGTCCAGCATACCGTGTTTAGGTATACACCCAAGAGAAGTTGAACATGCATTTTCAGAAATTAACGTAACTACATTTAACCCGGGTAGGAAAGGTTAATGGAGTCCCAGGAACATAACAAACGAGAGATTCAGCTGGGTTCCAGGTGAGTCTCTCGCAAAAACCGAATAATTACAACCGTTCAAACGAGAGTTCCGTGAACAAAATACATATTCTGCAAAACCCCGAAACTGCAACCAAAAAGTTGCCCAGTGAGTTTCAAGCGCTTGTCACGCTACCTGACTGGGAAGTCTTGACTGACGGGTCAATCGATCGCCACAACCAGGGCAGTCACTGGGTCGTCGTTCGATTAGTCGGGCACACCAATCCCATCGCTAAGTGTGAACACGTTCGCCTTTTCAGCCCTAAAAATTCAGATGCGTCCAACGTGCTTTGGTGGAGAAGTGGTTACACATTCGCCTCGCATGTCAGATGTCCGGGGTTCAAATCCCGGCACGGCCATTGGATATGCACTGCTGATGAGCTCTAGTAAGAACGAAACTCGAGTCCAGTCCTCCCGTTTGGTGTGAACTCACCGGAATAACTAAACCAGAACAGGAGGACGACCGTTCAAACGAGAGTGGTGGTGTGGCTATGAACAAAAACCAAATTAGTTTGCAAATGGGCGTATTTCGCTAATTAACGGGGTCCTCTTTGGTACGACCTACGAGCGATAGTGAAAAACTACACGTCACTTCTGGCTACGGGGTCAAAGCAGGTTTTGAGTGAAGAGATCACGTACTGTGCTCGATAAGAAGTTGACCCAAATCTCTTCCGAATACGCAACCTATCATACCGGCGGTTAAGCAACTAGAGTGATCCACTTAATGAAATGGCTACTCATTTGTTCCCTAGAAAACATTTGTTTGGTCGAAAAGCTAGTTTAACTTTCAGGAAGGACTACTCGAAATCCGAGTTGGAGTCTCTCTTTGCGTGATGCATAGCTTTCGTTCGTACAAACTTGGGCTGACTAGACGAATTGTAGTTAGAAGCGTCTGATGAACTTTGTAGATCAGATGTTTGATTTACTCCTAATTCGAGGTTGATTTGGAGCTGATTGACGTCAAACCAAATGATCTACTCTACCACTGTTGTTTGTAAACAGGCTTTGTAGCTACGAAGACCGCCCAACCAAGAGGTACACACTAGTAAAGCGCTGGACCTCACTTATCACCTACATTCAGTTATCTAACTTCGTTTTACCGGTGGCGGTTCCAAATCCATTTTTCTGATACTTATCCCCGGCCCACCCGCTTATGTCCGTTGCGTGAGATTGCACTTTTCAAGATGTGAAAACTGGTCCCACTTACTGCCTACATCCAGTGCCCGTCAACTACTTGTGATGCCAGATTGAACGAATGAATTGAGGATAGAGTATGGTGCGAATTGCGCTGCTTGTGCAAAGCATTCTTATACGAAGGCAGCTTATGCCGAATTACTTTGGAAAAAGCGGTCTGCTATCAGGTGTTCAGAACCGGCTGTCACAAGTGTACGCGCCGTGCGCTTTACATATGTTATTGACCACTGTGCCCGTGCGTTTTGTTCGATCTGTTTATGAACACATCGTGGGGGGAAGTTTAGTAGCTGGAATTTACAGATCGAACAGACCAAAAAGTGTCAGTAAGAGGTGAGTTCACTAAGACAGCTTCTATGAACAGCTGAGGCGATTGTACCCCAACCGTTCTACATGCTTTTCACGTGCGTGCTCACAAACGGTGGATACAAAATTCACGATTGTCATGGTGATTCACGCGTAAATCTCAAGACCGGTCTGTTGCCGTCACAGGTCACCCGTTTCGACGTTTACAGTCTCCCGGGATGGGACTGGCTTTCACACAATAGCTGGATTAATGTGGAAGACGGTTTGCTTCGACCTCCATGCACTGCGGATAAGCTTGTTGCAATGTGGATTTCCTAGAGAGTATGGCCCGGGGACAAATAAATAAATACGTTTAGTTTTATTATCCCACAGCTTGGGAAGCGAGGTGAGGATTTTGAAGGTAAATGAACGAAGCAAATCAGTTTAGAGTCTGTCGCCATCGTCCCTCCTTAGCGCCTTTCATGTGCTTAGCTGCCATGTCATCTGAAGGAAGCACAATGGCTGGGATACTCTCAGGTCGCCCAAGCCTAGACAGGAGCAGTCGAAATACAGACGTTGGGTTTGAACCACGGACCTTCTGATCAGTAAATCAGCGCTTGAACCACTGAGCCATCTCGAGCCATTGTAAATGTATTGAAAGTCGGCGAAGCGCTACTCTGAACGGAATCCAATGAAGCAATGTTGTAGGCAGATGATTGGCTACGAATACCTCTGGTGGCAAAATCATCTGTGTATGGCAGGTTATTTTTTCGTTGTTTCGGCCAGATTTCCGTAATGTTTTACCATATTGATTGAATAGGCTCGCTGAAAGAAGCCTAACAGTATAAGTAACCAGTGGCTTTTTGTACAGTGTCTCGGAAACAGTGCTCTCTGGATAGAGATTACCTTCAGTCATAAAATATATATGCTTAGGGGAGGCACGCTGTGGCTGTACTAAGTGAGTAAACCACAGTGGACATATAAAAACGGAGAGTACACCAAGACGAATGGTCAACTCGTAGGAAAATTTATCCTTTCCATGTAAAGGGAACATCCGGAGAGAGAGGGAACTTTTCTCCGAGATCGGATTTTACAGAAGAGTGACTCTGTGTTCATCCTTTCCATTTTCACCAGCAGTAGGCATCAGAAATGGCGTGAAACTGTTTTATTCGTCATTTTAGATGAGAAGTCGAATCCCATAACCACCTCGTGCCCAGTTGGTAATGTCCAACTGGTCGTGTTTCACAGTAACTGCTGATAAATTTGTAAAACGGCACCACCAACAAGCTTCTACGTCCTGTCAATTATCGGCGAGTCTACACGGCGTCGTTAGTGCTCAAGTTTGTATCCATTCGCTGGACTATCGATAAGCATAGTACGCAAGTGGGGGCAAGATGGACCAAGTGGTTAGAGCGCGAATTTACTGACCGGAAGGTCCGTGATTCGACCCCAACCTCCGCCTCTCGACTTCCCCTGTCTAGGCTTGGGCAATCCCAGCCCTCGTGCAGCCTTCGGGTAGCATGGCAGCGAAAGGGTGCTGCAGCTGAACGATAGGCAGATCAACTTTGAATTTTTCGAAGCTTAATGCCAGAAATTGCCGCTTGTTATGTAGTGATATGTGAATGTAGGCCAAATGTTGGTGACTCAAATCGGTTCGGTAGTTGGCCTATTGGTCGAACTTCACAAGAATATTACATCCCCGTAGCCTAATCTACACCTGACTATGCCGAGTTGTTACTTTCATTTGCGATCGACCGGTGCTAGTTTTTTTATTACTCTGTTTATTTCCACTGTAGCATGGAAGACCTGGGAGAAGCATGCGCCGACGTAGACAACGTCGAGCCAGACTGTTTCGACAGATGGAAGCAATGAGTCAACCTGTGCCACTCTTCTGTACTAATGGGGTAGGTAAGTGTCCACCTCCTGGTTTGATGCGAACAGGCTGTATTCCAATCATTAGCTGCCTCCCCATGTCGTATTCAAGCCCTTTTTGCAATAGCCACGAGGACTATATGGGTCGCAAGGTTCGTTCGACTGGATTTAAGTTCCTGCGGAAAGAAGACCCGCTAGCGAGGAAACAGTGGGTGTTCCACAGCTGTCGAACAGTCTTCATCAACCTTGTGAGTAGCTTCCTTTGCGAAATTGCCATGAGTCCTAATACTGTGCGTAATCACGGAAGTAGTGAAAATGATAGGATGTTCCGTTCCAACGCCGAACACTTTCAAGTGTTGTGAAGGGGCGATGCTGCCTTCCCTTGAGAGGTGGGTGAGTAAGAAAGTGGTCGACCCTGACCGTAACCGCGGGCGCGTTATTCAGTGTGACTGGAGTGCTTTTGTAAATCCGGTGTAAATCTAGTACCACTAAAACATCTCACTGGATTTCGTCAGCGAAACCACTACCCTCCCGGCTGTTATTTTGAACACTTAGCCTTTCGGTCGCGGGTGGCCGTGTGATTAGCTCGCACTTAGATAGGTTATGGCGATGTAGCTCAGTGGTTAGAGCGTAGATTTGCCGACCAGAAGGTCCTTGGTTCGAACCCGACCTCTTCCCTCGACTTCCCCTGTCTAGGCCTGGGCAACCTGGTAGTATACCAGCCCTCGTGCTTCCTTCGGGTAGCATGGCAGCTAGGCACTGATAGGGTGTCACAGCTGAACAACTCGATTCTATTCGATGGCGCCACTCATCCTTCAGTAGCGGAGACCACATCATGTGGTCACATATGCTGACTGACTCCTGTGACGACCTTTCAGACGGAAGTTTCATGAACTTATTCTCCTCCTGAACTATTTGTAGTATAATGGTGAAAGGAAGAAGGCCTTAACTACGGAGTTATTTGTTAAAAAATGCCAACTGACCAGTTACAAACTATTGGACAGGGAAGCAAAACTCTCTTTTGCATCTTCTTTACAAAAACTGAACGCGTCTTCTTGAACTTTCCTGGATATTCATTGACTCCAATCATTCATTGCTCAAATGCAAGCAAGTGCTGCAAGGCGATTCCACAAATTCCGCAACAGATCTCCCTTTTCAAGAGACGCACAGCGAATTTACAAGAACAAAACATACTATTCGCATGCCTCCCCATCAGTAGTATCACCGTTACAATGGTAGTATGACAAGAGGTGATAGTTTTCGATTTAGACTTCCTCTTATGAATGAAGGCAATCTGTGCTGAAATGCTTAAGAAGTGATTACTCAAGAAACCAGTTGAAAGTTGACCACGTGACGTGGTTACCGTATTTGAAGGATGGGTGGCGCTATGTTCTGTCTAAATGTGAGTTAATCGCAATACTGTTCAGCCGCCAGTGGACGGACGGTTAATTGTTCAAACTGCTAGCCGGGAGGGTGTGGGTTTGTGACCTCCTGGAGTTTCATGAGGCGCACAGTCCCCACAAGAACGTGGCAGGTGTACAGTGCTTCTTGGCTCTTTCTCATAGATTAGCCTTGCTTGCATGACGAAGTCTCAATTAAGCAAACAGTGATCCGGAAAAATTCGAGAGCTTATCGTCTGCTCCTACCAGGGCAGAAATGTTTGGCCTCTGAATATGCATTTCTGACAAGCAGCAGGTTGGGCAGGCCATATCACCTAACAATTTATCGTTGGTACTGAAGAACTTTGACTTGAAGAACTTGAAAACCCATGAACAACGTTGAGTCCCAACTGTTCCCAACTTCGTTTGCTTTGAGCGAATTAGGCCACATCATTTCTTTTGGAAAAAAACGGTGTAGACTATGACGGTTCGACGAAACCCATGAACAACGTTGAGTCCCAACTGTTCCCAACTTCGTTTGCTTTGAGCGAATTAGGCCACATCATTTCTTTTGGAAAAAAACGGTGTAGACTATGAGGGGCGGTTCGACGAGTCTTGTACACCCGTGAAAAATAACAACCAGTGAACTGTGAGAAACATGACTATTAGGAGAACCGGCTGCTAACGTAATTGGGCTACACAACTGCCATTGGAATAACCGTTTTCGTCAAACAGATTTCACTGGTTGTTCTTCACTCGCTCTTCACTGATGAATTCTACTTTTAGCATCACTTTTTTGACCGCCTGCAACTTTCCACATGAGTTTTATAAGCAGCCCGTTTTCGGCTGCACCTGAAAAGGCTGTGCGCGTAAGTGTTCAATAGATCAGCTGATTCGCACTTTCGTTGACTTTCTGGTTTTGCAAAGTGCATCAGGCTAACAAGCGGCTATCCAGACTCGGGTTCACGGTATTAAGAAAGCATTGAGAAAACGGTGATCCACAACAATAGCTTTTAGTTACACACACTACTTACAAACCAGTCGTTTTCTTGTATACACTGTCACTCATCATTTGTATTTCGTTTCTTGTTTTTTTTCACGAAAGACACAAACGAGCTATCTAAGCCGAATGACGTTGAACCCATGGAAATTGGCAGTCTGCTTTCCCTAACTGATCTACCGGACGATGCATTAGTCTGGGGTTGGGATCCATCCACCTCATACAAGACCTCTACAGTCCAACCCACTCCCTCTGTGCCACTGGTGTTCGCCTCTCCTCAGCCCACTTCTTCTACCGAGCCATCCCCCGTTGTCGGAAATAAGCGAGATGTTGCCACTCAATCAGGTGGTGTCACTGGCTCCACAAAAGGTTCCAAATGGATGTCTTCTCTGGCTCACATAATTGAACGGAGTATTTCCAACTCAAATATTAAGTAAGAACGCTTATTTCGGATAGTTTACACCACATGGCGCTCAATTTGTTTATTAGGATCCCATCAGGGTTTAACCCGGCCGCCTAAGGGTGTTTATTGTCTGACATCTCTACAAAGTCAAGAGGACAAAGGCTATCGTTGGAGGTATGTTAAGCTTAAGGGCCAGCAGAAGATCCGAACGTCAATGCACTAAAATCGATCAGCCCGTCCTAATCGATGTGAACTCGCACTGATGATGTGGCCTCGATTGCTAGCGAAACGTTTGTGACCGAACCACCAATGATGGCGGGTTCATCACTAACCATGTGTGATGTTGGATAGCGTTTTCCTCACATTCTTCAAACTGATGTTCCCAAAGCTAGTTCATTCACAGAACCGGTCAGCACTAGAGCAGTTACCACATCATCTTTCATTGAATCTGAATATCGATTGGAAACGTCACCAGAGCGCCTGTATGAATGCTTATTGCCCTCTATTTGCCCTGGCACTGCTGACAGGAAGGCTTGATACTATGTATAATACATAGAATCGTTCCAACGCGTACAAGACGGGAACTGACTTGTTGTCGGTTCAGGTTACGAGCGGGACAGGGGTTTGTCACATCATTTGTGCGTTTGCGGAACAAACGATTCGCGTAACCTAGTGAGCATGGATGTATCAGACAAATTAAGCGACGTCGGTTGGAGAGACAAGGAAGTGACCGCTGCAGCTACCATACAAACTGAGACACCACAGGTTGATCACTTTTCATCGTGCAACATAACTGCCACGTATAAACCCAAGTTGAAAAAAATCAGCTGTAGCACCCTTTCGGTGCCTAGCTGCCATGCCACTCGAAGGTTGTACAAGGGCTGGGATACTGCCAGGTTGCCCAAGTCTAGACAGGGGAAGTCGAGAGGCAGAACTCGGGTTCGAACCACGGAGCTTCCTGTCAGTAAATTCGCGCTCTAACCCAAGTTGAGACGGAACCGACTGTGGATCCCTATCGCAACAGCGCGCAAGCGTAGTATGGTAGTATATGGTAATGTATGGTACATATATAGTATATATAGTATAGTATATAGTACACCACGTCTTAAAGAAATACAGCACTCGTGCAACAGCACATCAACTTGTTGGACTTCACTGTGTATCACGAGGAACTTTCCCCTGATATTTGTGGTGTTGACGTTGCACATATGTGTTACGGATTTACCTATGTTTGTGCGAGCCGTTCTGTGGTGTGCTGGGTTTTTTATGTATTGTTAACAAACTCCAAGATTCCTGATTGAAGTACCCTTATTTCTGGGTATGGTGAACATTCATTTTTGTGGTCTGCAGTTCGCTAAGTTTCTATTTAAAATATGATCAACTATTTTCCAGCTGTATTGCTTTTATATAAGTGGTAACGTTGTCCAGCGCGCATCATGAATACATGGATGTCCGGATGGTTTCTGACCGTGAGCGGTTGATGTAGGACTACAAATTAGGGTACTTCAAACGGGTTTAAAGGCCTGTCAAGGTAAGTCATACCTTCCATCAGTTCTCCGTACTTCCGAATCACATTGTGGTAACCACATAAAGTGTGTACAATAATCTACTGTTAAAAAACGGAACCATTCTTGTGTCATGTGGTCTAGGATTCGTTTATTTAGGGGCGAAATGGCGTAGTATGATCGATCAGTTTGAATCTGTTGGGAAGCTTAATTTTCTGATCCGGTTGATATACAGTGCCCGGTATTTCCACTACTCGAGATGGCTCAGTGTGTATAGCGCCAATTTACTGACCGGAAGGTCCGTGGTTCGAACCCACCTTATGTATCTCGACTCCTCCTCTCTAGGCTTGGGCAGCGTGGCAGCCCTCGTTCTTCTTTGAGTGGCATGGCAGCTAGGATCTGGAAGGGTGTCACAGCCGAATGATCACTAATCTTTCCACTACTGTTATCTCGTGGTGTGATTGAATTTGACGTCCATGATCTTTTGAGATGTACTTATTCTGTTTCTCCTGTACCTAAATCCTCTGAAGAAGTTCACAAGTTTCTTCGATAAAATTCAAGGATTGGACAGCAATTCTAATGTTGAGTCTAATGTGTTTCACGAGGCTTTTCAACATCTCAAGGTAGACTGAACCGATTGTCTTTGAATCTGTCAGCATACTTTAGGATTCTTGTTCAGTCATCTTTGGAATTTTCTAGGCATCTTATAAAAACTTTCCGAACACCCTAACTTGAAGAGGGCATTTGACAGGAACGTTTTTGCTTCCCGTTTTTTCTATAGTATCCCACATAAGACATCTGGTGTCCATACTCCTGAGGAAGCTTCCCGGTCGAACAGTTCCAAGCTTCCCGTGGGCCAACAACGTGGGCAACTTTTCATTCGCGGAGCCAATATTATCTCAGTGATATTCCTATCAGACTCGCCTCTTTTCTGTGACAAATCGGCCGACTGACCTTTTGTACGCATTGTGCTCCAGCTAGTCCTTGGTTATAGCATTTTTGATACTTTTTTGGAATTTGATATGCACTACTTGAACAAGATTGCTTATTTGCCTTTCTGTGTAACCCATATTATTTTAATGATGACTTTGAATGATAACTGTTTTCATTATTTTCCGTCGGGTTAGTCTGGCATTCACGTTTACAGGTTTGATCGGGACTCGATGCTTCTCGAGGACTGACTTGACTTCACCAATACGGTAACACTTATGCGCTTGAGGCAGCTCACCTGTTTTGATGTTCATGGTTTGGCTGGTTGCATCGGTTTTCTGTATGAATGATGATTGTGAACTACCGTCCTGTGTTGTGGGTTGAATGGAGAACAAGTCCCCTGTACCACGCACCGGTGAGCTTTGTGTTTGGGTGATGATGGAACTCTGGGATTCTGATTTCCCTGGTGTCGTACCCATTGATCTTTCCACGGACTCACCTGTTTTGGTATCCTCGGTGGTGCTGGTTGCTTTGTCGTTAATGGTCGATGATGTTTGCGGTCTACCATTCTGTGTTGTATGTTGAATGGAGAACGATTCCCCAGCTCTTTGGGCCTATTCCTGTTTCGTCGATTTCTTCTGTCTGTACTCGTGCTCTGTGTAGATTTTCGCCGATTTTAGAGGTATGGGCACGTCCGAATGCACGCGGCAGGCTAGCAATCGGTTCCATTCTTGTCTGCTTGTTTTTATTTTCACCGGTATTTGCTGAAACGAAACTTCTGGGATTTCACGACAATGTCAGTAATGAGATTAATGGTGCGCCGAAGTGATAACATGAATTATTTTTAGCTGTTTTATATTCGAAAAGACACCTGCCTTTTCTATTCAGACGCTGTACAACCCAGTTGGCGTTTCTATTTATAGCAGTTGGTACACGTTTCTCGCAGTTCCAAGAGAATTGCACCAGGTCGCTAAATGCCTTACATTTCTCTGATTATGTTGTGACGGGTCAGATATCAAAGTCTACAATGCCTCGCCTGTTGGCAACATTTGTGATATCAAAGAATCGTATCGGTGGGTCTAAAACAGCACATATTCTGGACCGAGGCACAGGTCTCTTCTGTAGCTGCGAGGTTCCGAAGCTTCGATTTGTGGTGTCTTCCTCAGAATCGAACTTGGATTAGGCTTGTGTCGCCTAACTCACAGTTAAATGATCATGCTACTAGTACCTGAGTTCTAAACCAAAGGTCAAACAAATAAAACAAGGTAAATCACAGTGCATTGACAGCTTTTAAAAGGACAGTCTACTTTTGTTACTGAGACCGTATGACGGGGGAGAAATAGTCCTGATGGATAGATCAGACCAACTCACTTTTCAAAAGAACGCAAGGGAGAATTGTACTGCCGCACATGAAACAGACCGGACAGATTGGGACCAATAAATACACTTTCGTGCATTTGCTCGCTCGGTAATGTAATCCTCAGAGTGTACGGCCTTCCGAAATCACATGAAACGCGTTCACTCGTGAGATCTATCCTTGACGTTCATAATTCGCCTTATGGGTTTGCAGTGGCTCACTGGTCTACGTGAGCACATCGGGCGTGAACTGACAGTTTGAAGCCTCAAGGATGCCTTTCGTTTTGTGAACCCAATTAGGAGCTTTTATCTGATCAGAACGTTAGGTGACAACACTGGAGCTTCATGGCCGTTCAATAATGTAAGGGAGACATTAGCAGTGGTTTGTTATCGCTTACCTTCTCTGCTGTATGGGGTGAGTGAGGCGACTCGGTTAACGAAATCGCGCGACGGCCGATGGTTGTAGGTGGGCTGGGATACCGCCAGGGCGCCCCTATCTAGCCAGGAGGACCGGTAGGAGCCTCAACTAAAGCCTTTTGCTCGAAAGCCTAACCGCAGAGCAGCGGCGGGCCGGCGTAAAACTGGTAGAGCAGTCTAAATTCTTGGGATGAAGGACTATGTTTGCCACACGTACACCCTTCACTCTGGCTCAATGGGTTACGAAGGTACACAAACCGTCACTCAGCGGCAAGGCCCAATCTCTTTGTGGTTGATCACTTATATAAACAAAATATGTCCTCTGTTTACTTTACCTCACCTTTTAAGAATATGTCATTCCAGGAAACCTATTTGTGGTTTCGTTGGGTGCACTGGCAGAGACGTGGCTGTTTAAATCTTAGAACTTATACCATTATTGCTACTATGCACAGAGAACGTCTAGTTCCGACTCAACGGCGAAATGCATTTCCTTCCGGATGAGTGAATTAAGAAGCAGCGCACGCAAGTCAGTCACTGCGTGATTCGTTTTCTACCGACGGTATGTTGTTGACATATTCTTGACATCGAATGTTATACTGAATGTTTTCAACTCAACTCACTCAAGTAGCAGCTTCAGTTCTTTGACAACAGATGTCTCACAAGTGTAGCTGGAGCCAGCGAAGTCGCAGTGGCGTGGTCAAGAAACGGGTGTTCGTTTCTTCACCCAAAGAATCCAGCACCGCCTGGGTCTCACAGGATCCATGTGTCAGACTACAAAGCGGACTCCACTGCTGCACGGCAACGAGAGTTGGACCTTTCAAGTACGTGAAGTGATATTTTCACGTCTTTGGCCAAGAGTGTCTCAGGCCTACGGGTGGAGTCAGCTGGAACCAAAGAATTCGCAGTGAGGTGAACAGAAGACAAGTCCTTGGTGAAACCAAGGTTTCTTCACCCAAAGAATGCATCCAGCACCGCAAGCTAGGGTGGCTGGGCCATGTATTGAGTATGCGTATGGGAGCAAACTGCTTTCTATGGCTAATTCGGAATGGCTGGGGACAATGAATGATGTGGCGTATAGCCGGTGTCATTGGCATTCGTACTCTCTATTTCTATCCAAACTGTGAGCTAGTGTTGGAAATGAGGTGTCTCGAATGTTTGTTATGAGCTAGCCCCAGCTCTCCCCCCATTTCCTTCTTGTTTTCATTATAAGGCTTTATTCAAACAAACCGGCATGGTTGTACAGCAGTGGAGCATTGATGCTCTCTTCTTGTGCTGCTGTCTAGGATGAGGATGATGATAACATGCCCAAACAATATGGATACATACTCGAGTGCGAAAATTGGTTATTCACTTCAAGATTATTCCGTTCTGACCACAGGCATTGTCGCGGAGCTACCGAACTACCACATTAAAGTTGCCAAATCAGCCTAGACTCACTAGACTCAGGGAGGTCGGTTACAACTTCTTTTTGAGTACACCAATGTCACTTTACATCTACCAGTTAGAAAAAAGGTTTACAGGGATGATAATGCTCGAGGATTTAAGCATCCTGAAGCTATAAAAAGCCCTTACCGCCCATTTATCAGAATCTGATAATCCGTCAATTCACGTTTGTGGCAATACTACCCACCAAAATATGCTAAACCCGGGTGGTCTGTTTTCGCAAAGATCTAATTCACCTCGGAACGGCGATGAGGTTCCGGTGGCAGGCTTCAATGGAATGTTCATAAGCCATTCGAACTGAGGTATGGCTGCCGGTCGAGAGTACTGAAGTTGCACACGATAAGGACGGCCATACATGGCTAGTTTAGGTAAGAGCAGCTGAAGGCAGATATATTCGTACATAACTGATAACAGTGTACGAGGCTATTGCAGATACCCATTGTGTCATACACCCTTGTCCTTAACGCTTCTGTGAACCTTTCGGGTTTTCGCATCCGAGATTTTGACTGATGCGCTCTATTTACTGGTTTTGTCGCAGTCCACTTGACACTAGGACCTCGTGGCTTGCTAAGTCTGCCAATCTCATCCACGGAATATATAAGTCAGGCTCGCCTTAACTAGAGTCTTGAAGCTGCTGCGGTCGAGTTGAGAAGAGCTGGTATGAAGATCTTCGCTCAAAAGACGAGAGCGATGATGATTTATGGGGACAGGAAACATCGGGCGACACCCGTCTTAGTCGAACCTTTTTGCTTCGCCGAGTAACTCATCACTCCTCTGGGTCCGACAGACACCGTGACATATTTGGGCATCGCCTTTACTTTCAAGGGAAAAGGAATCTGTAACGAATGAAATCAGCTGTTCAACCTGCTCGGTGATATGATGCGTGTCCCATTGAAGCGGGATGAAGGAATGAAGATCACAAGGAACTACCTGATATTGAGGCTGGCATTGTCTCTGGTGCTCGACCAAGTTCACCAAAACACGCTTAAAAGGTTGGACAATTAGATCAGGCAGTCTATTTGTGGCTTTCTACGTCCACCGACTAACCCCATCCACGGCGGTAAACAAGTACTACCCAACTAGTGTTCCTCGTTGTCTGCACTCGGCGCTGTGAAATTTGCATTTGCTATCGATTTTGTAAAGTATAATCGTCCGAAGGACTGCTGCTCTCCTGCAACACTAGGACAACAGAAAGACTGATATTTTTCTCCAGCATGATTATGGTGTAACATAAGAAATCTGGCACCTTGTCCCACTGTTCCTAGTTTCACTTGTTGGGGAAAGTTGGCCGCGTATTTACGGCAGTGATCAGTTTGGCAGCCACGATTCGAAGCGTAAAAACGATCACTTGTTATAGTGTTCTCTTGGACTTCAGATCTTTTGGCAAGGTGTTAATAAGCCCGCATCCATCTGCCAACACACCATCGTTCTGTGCATGTTTCCTTGTTTGATCTACTAACGTTGAAACCGATACTATGCTTGTCAGCTGGTACGAAGGCGACAAGATATGTGGCGTTTTTTGGTGGCTTTTTAGAGAAAACGAAAAATCGTCGACAGCCCACGACCGGTTTCTTCCTTCTTGGAGCTCATCAGGTAGGCACAGTCCCGAGTTTCGGTCAACCTTGAAAACAAAATTCATCATCATCGACAGCATGACATCAGTGTTCAACACCAATGCTTCACTGCCGTACTTGAAACCGAATTAGCGAAATACACTCATTTACAAACTAATTTGGTTTCGCGAGAGATTTACCTGGGACCCAGCTGAATCTCTCGTTTGTGATGAGTAGTGCATTACAAATATACATGAATCGCGATATCTCGAATATCGTAAAGACTG